AGTTTAATATACTGAACACATTAAATTAAAGCCATCTAAGTCAAAGGCAAGTTAAGTTTGGTTTGTCATGATATGTGAACTTAACCAATATGTCATCATGGTCTCTAAAAATATGACAAGACATAATTAAGACCTGTGGTGGTGCAATGGTTAGTGTGCAGTACTGCAGGCTACTTCTGCTGCCTGCTGGCTGCCTGCAATTTGGCAGTTCGAATCTCACCAGGCTCAAGGTTGACTCAGCCTTCCATCCTTCTGAGGTGGGTAAAATGAGGACCCAGATTGTTGGGGTAAACCGCTAGAGAGGGCTGTGAAGCGGTATATAAGTCTAAGTGCTATTGCTATTGACAACTTACAAGTTTTTTTCAAGCTCTACACAAGCCTCACCTGAAACTTTTTTAAGAACTTGCACATCATCCTAGCAACCATTTGTCAATGGACAATCCCTCTCAAATGGAAGCCAACATGTCCTCAAAATTCCACATCTCCAACACCCCCAAAGGTTTGAGCCCTTAAATTTGATAATGGCAAAGTCAACATAAGATGAGTAGAGAGAAAAATCTTAGAGGAGTTAATAAGAACAAGATCCCAAAGCTCTTTAGTAATCCAGCTAGGGGTCTCCAGGTTTTATTGTTTTCAGTTTAATCTCTCTGATCCACCTATCCATGTGTGCTCTAGTAAATGTACACATATAGAGTCTGCATCATCAGTTTCATAAATACAAAGGGATGCTGAATTCAAATATATTGACTCCAACTTGAAAGTTTATTCATTAGTCAGGGACAGGTTGCATTCTCTGACTCCTAAAAATAACATTAAGTCAAGGGGAAACATAAGTGCATCTGTTCATATCACTAAAGGAACAACACAGAGAACTTTCTTAATCTTTCTTTGGTAGATACTCAGCCCCTTTTGGGCCTGGAAAGCTAAAAGAAAGCTAAAAGAAAGCATATTGTGGCCTCTTTTGGCCGAGAAACCAAGAGCCCCCAACAAGAGCAATTCCATCTGGCTGCAAAACCATATCATGGTAGTTGATAATTCACTGTTTCACTATTGCTCTCTAAAGCTGTCTTTTCTTTGCAGATCTTTGTTTTTTTAGTTATTAAAACTCAAGACCAAGCTAGTTTATTTTTTAAATTTGAGTCAGTAGTAATTATCTAAATGCTATGATAAAATTGTAGCCAATAACATTAAAAATGTTTTTGTGTCCATTTAATCACAACTATATTCTTGCTTTCATTTAGTAAACATGAAACAGCTGTATTTTTTGCCATATAATGTTTACATTTCTAAGAATTTATCCTGCATTACATAGTAGTTTTACAGTCTCTGCTGATATATTTCATTAATAAATTTACATGATAATGCAACAAACTTAGATTTCAGATTCTTTTCCACTATAATCATTTGGCTTCAGTTGGCAACCATTTGTAAAATCACTATATTGTGTTGTATAATTTTTTTCCACCTAAACGATAGGAAATGTTTATCTCAGACCATGGCTTAACAGTGGTGAGACTTCTGAGTAGGAGAATGAAAATCATGTTTTTTCACTCATGAGAATTTTCTCATCGTTTCCCTTTTTTTTGGTCAGCCATTTATGCAATAGCTGAGGAAAAAGTTGAAATTTGGAAAAGAAGTTGAATTTTTCAAGAATGAAAGTTTTCACTATGAAATATAATGGCAGAAGGAAAGGAGTATTCTTCATCAATGCAACTTTGCCCAATTTTGGAGGATATAAGTGTAATGAAAAACTTACAAATAGATTTATCTTATCACAATTTATCTTTATTGTCATCCCATGTATTTGAGCATCAGGCATTCTTGACAGGTTATTTTGTCACATAATATTGACCTTCAAATAACAAAAAATATAATATCCTTTTACATATATGTACCAATTTCATTATTTTGATAGTTTAGAGTTCTCCATTAAAAGCAGCGGTGAAATGCTCCTGGTTCGGATCGGATTGCCCGATCCAGTAGCAATGGAGGTGGGTGGTTCAGAGAACCAGTAGCAAAAATCCCTGCCCCTCCCCCCCCAATTGCCCAGCTGAGCCGCGCAATCATCAGAGGCTTTTTTTTTTTAATTTTTAAAAGCATTTTTTTCTACAACCTCTTTGGCCGAAAACACACTTTTAAAAGTAAAAAAAAAAGCCTCTGATGATTGCGCAGCTCAACTGGGATCATCAGAGGCTTTTAAAAGCATATTTTCTACAACCTCTTCGTCTGAAGAGGTTATAGAAAAAATGTTTTTAAAAGGAAAAAAAATCTCTGCCGATCAGGCAAGTCAGCTGGGATCGTCAGAGGCTTTAAAAAAAAAAAGAAAGCCTCTGCTGATCAGGCAAGTCAGCTGGGATCGTCAGAGGCTTTAAAAGCATTTTTTTACAACCTCTTCAGCCGAAGAGATTGTAGAAAAAATGGTTTTAAAAGTTAAAAAAAAAAGTTGGCCACGCCCACTCAGTCATATTACCACCCACTGACCAAGCCACGCCCACAGAACCAGTAGTAACAAATTTTACATTTCATCACTGATAAAAAGGTATGCTTGATTAGTTTTAATCTAAGGCAGGGGTGTCAAACTCAAGGTCCGGGAACCGAATCCACCCCTGCCCCCTGAAGGTCAAACATAACCCTGATGTGACCCTTAATGAAGTCGAGTTTGACACCCCTGATCTAAGGCTTAAACTCTGCAAAATTTAAAAGAATCCAAGAACAAAGAGAGGGTACCGGGAGAGATAACCAAATTAGCTAAATTAGGATGCAATATTATGAAATAATTATATTCATTTTGGCACCACAGATCATTTTCATAATACTTGATTAACCAGTTCATTTGAAATTTTCACTGAAGGATGTTTTCATAAAGTCCTAATTTTAAAATTGTATTAATATTATTCTGGGTATCTTGGAAAACATTCCAAAATTATTGGAAATATTTAATGCAACAAGACATTAATTGTGAATCCTGAAAGAAATGGGGAACACTACTGTAGTTAGCAAAAATCTCAAACTCTAAAAATTAAAATAGCAATAGGACCTAGACTTATGTACCACTCCACTCTACTTTATAGCAGTTGCTGAGCAGTTTACAATGTCAGCATATTGCCCCTAACAATCTGGGTCCTCATTTTACTGAGCTTGGAAGGATGGAAGGCTGAGACAACCTTCAGCTGGTCAGGATCAAACTCTTGGCAGTGGGCAGAATTAGCATAAAATTTGATCAATTTAATCAAATTTTCTGATTTGATTAAAATGTATCTAATTAAATTGCTCAAGAGTGAAATATCTTACCAGTGCTGCTATCTTACTCACACCTACATATAACTGAATTGAAATTGACTAAGTGGGGTACCTTTAAACAAGCCTGTATAAACCTAAGTTAACACAGCAATTATTTCAGGCAGAGAGTAACACTTTCCCTTAACAACTGATCTGTCTGCAAGTGGCATCTCATTTCAGTTTATCATGTATGCAAGCTACATAAAAGAATAATACCAATCACTGAGCAATTTTTTTATCATGTGAAGATCCACCATGATCTACATTATATACAAATGCATGAATCAAGTAAAATTCTTGCTGGTATTACTGTTTAGCATTTGGAATAAAGAGCAAAAAGATAACATTTCCCCCTTCTTTATTCCCAAATAAGGCCCTGCAAAAAAGAGCTTAATCTTCACTTTTTATGAAAATAGCTCATTAAGTTATTTACTAAGCAAACATGCAATGTTTTTCATTTGCTAATGTCATCACATTGATCTTGGTAAGAGCCTGAAAAATAAATATGAGCCCCTGGTGGTTTTACTGATAAAAATAATGTTAATTTCTAATTATCTTAAGCATTATGATAATTATTACGTCCTCAATACCAGATGATATTCAAAACTTACTTTCATGTGTGTGGGCTTAGTTGAACTAAATACTATTCCCTATAGGCTGCTTCTCTGGCAAAAAACAAAACAAAACAATGACTATACTGAACAGTGTTTTTATTGGTCTCTGGAAAAAACAATCACTGTTCCTGCCTTCTTGGCATCAACAGCCCCATACCACACTTCAAACAGCATGCTAGGATTCAGTCAGTTTCCCTCACATCCATCCATGTGCGTGTTTATCCACATAGTTCCTAAGATTATTTCTGAAAATCTACACTTGAAAGCTCAACAACTATTTCCTGTACCCGTGAAAACATTCGATCCCAGGGTGTACAGAGATTTTTGCTTACTCTGCAGATTACTTGGAGTACTATTATTTTCATTAATGAAATGTACATTGTAACGTATCTTTTTTATTAAGGTCCAAAATGTGCCAAAGAGAAGATTCATCGGCGAAGTTGAATGACACAAGCAATGGGACCTGAAACGCTTTCCCCTTAACGTGTGATTCAAAAGCTGGTGGGGGAAAAGCTGAGTTGTAAACTCGAGCTTTCAGTATATGCAATGCACAGCAAAGGCCAAATATTTTTCCAGTCTATAGATCTTGAGGGAAAAAATGCCAAATATATTTCATAAGGCAGTTAAGCCTCTACTGGAATCTAATCACTGCCAGATGTCTAGAAGAACATCACGAAATGCTGGCAACCCCCCACTGGTCTCTCCCAAAACTGCAGAGGCAAGTTTTAAAACATTTTTTTAGATAAGTGGCCAAGAAATATGTGCTACAGAAAGCAGAAATCGAGCGGGTGAACACTTTGCACCCCTGGACAGTCCTTTTTTTTTAATTTAAAAAACAAACCCCACAGAGGGGTCTCTAAACAACTTACAAGAAGCTGAACCTGGGTTTTTCTTTAAGAACAAATGGCAGCTTTCATCCTTAATGACTAGCAATCCACCCAGCTTCAGTTTCTCTCACAAACACACACAAAACACAAACCCTCTTGCAAAAATATTTGCTTTCACAAGAAGCCCATATTCACTGCTGACAAGCCTCCTGCTCTTTCACAGCCGCCCAGCAATTTCCAATACCTACTTTCTGAAATAGCCACCCACTCATGGGCTTACCTTTCATGTTGGCACACCAGGCGGTCACATAGAAAACTCAGATGCTGGAGGAATTTGCTGCTGTTAACACAAAACTCCTTATTGGATTTCCATGCCGGGTGCCCGGGATCTTCTGATCAGGAGCAAGGATGGATGGATGGATGAATGGATGGATGGAACTCTTGACCTCTCGCTCAGCCCGTCTGAAGGAGTCCGAAGTTTACACTCTCGTGACTGGCCTAAGCTCAGACGACCAGCCTCTGCTGCCCCTCCTCTCTGCTCAGTTTTGGAAAGGAGAGAAAGCTTTTGGCTCCACAGTTCCCCCCCCCCCCCGCAGCTCCCCTTTCCCCCCGCCTCTTTCACGAGCTGGACTGTAAAGTAAGGCAAAGAAGAGACTGTAATAATAAACCTCCAGCGAAGTTTGAATGAGGAGTAGAAACTTCTTCCCTCTTCTCCTAAATCAGCCTCCCAAAAGCTCCAGATTGTCCTGAAAAATTCCTGCACAATCAGCTGCCTTCCCTCTCTTCTTTCCTTCCTTTCCTTTCCCTTCCCTGTGAAGTTGACTCTTCTCGGACAGAGAGCTCTTAAATGTGAAGCCAAAATGTTTTGGCAGAGACCTAGGTGTGTAGGCTCTCCATAGAGGCAAAACACTTTGAGGATGGAAAACAGAAAAGCTCAGCAGCCTCAGCTCGACATTTCAAGCCTTCCAAAATCTGTCCCCTTCCCAGGATGCAGAAATCTCTGTTGAAGAGGGCTGTTTGTTCTAAAAGAAGATAAATAATCACCAATAACACATGCAGTTTCATTCTGGTTAAATCAACAGTTGTGCTGTCCCGAATTTTGTGCACCAGAGTAGGTTTTGACTTTGGAATATTCCAGTTTCTTCCAGAACATTCCATTTTCTTCCTGGAACAGACCCACCGAGATTCCAAGTGTGGCTTGTGAGTTTCCAGACCTTTATCATTAGGAACAGAAAGGAGTCTACAGAACTTCCTGTTCCAGACACATGAACCATTTTCAGAAAGCTTGGTTTGCCTTGCCTGCACCATTATGCATATCCCTAATGAACACACTGCCCTTACAAGAAAACATGGTTGGCTGGTGTGTGGTTTGCTGTGTTTTGAAAACCCAGGTAATTGGGATAAACCTGTACAGAGTTTTAAGTCCATTCTGCACTATATCATCATAGTTTGACTACTATAAAACTTGAAATAGTGGACTCTAGAGCAAATAACAAATAATGACTGCCTACAGAATAAGGAATAAGATTAAAACAATAAATTTAAATTAAAAAAAAAAGAATAAGGAGTAAGGAAAGACTCTCAGTCTTATTTCACCAAAGTGGGAGATAAAATAAGTAATGGGCACCTTCTTCCCCACACCTGACTCATATCCTTTGTTTATGTTGGGTACAGTATATTTCTCTGGATGCATGAAAAAAACCCTAAAATACTCGTTTCACCATTATTTCAACTACACATAGCTTGTGTTTAGTGACCACAATTGAAACCTGCAGCTTGGTTGTTTAGAAAAATGGTCGCTAAGTGAAACCTGTACTTATGTTCTTATTTCACCTTTCCTTTGCTTTACAAACCTTCAAAGGCCATAAATGAAAAGATTGGTCACAATGTTATTTTTGTATAACAGTTGTTTAATATGGATCCAGTCGTAACTGTGAATAGTCCCTAAACAAGGCAGTTACTAAACATGGATTAGCTGTACATCCTTGCTGACTGAAAATTACTTCTGCTTAATTCTATCCTGTCATATTATCTACGCAGTCTGAGACATCATGAGCTGATCTCACACTGAAATAGACCTTCCCTGTGGAACTGACCTCTATGAGTCAAAAAAGTCAAGATGGTGGCCATGACCATGAAATTAAAGCCCACCCCCTTTTTACATGCAGGATGCTGCAGGCACCTCTCTATCTGAAATGAGAGACGAATTCCTTCAAAATACATGTTTTGTTGGAGCCAAATATGTGAGCCTTAGAGTTCTTGTCAGAGCAGGACAAAGCTGTTCCATTTTTCTGTGTCTCTCTTGAGAGTCTCTTCTACAGGATCAAAAAATACTCTGGTACAGTCTTCTTCAATCTTTTGCCTAGCAAACAATCCCCCAAAACTCTTAGTTCCCATAACTCATTGTCTGGTTATGCTGGCTGGAATTAAGAGGTCTGTAATCAATCATTTCTGGAGAGCATTAGAATGAAGAAAATGGTGACTATAAGTACATGAATACATGTGCATGCACAGACAGACAGACAGACAGACAGACTCACAAACAGTTTAGTCAACTCTTCTTTAATTGGTAGACTGTATTGGAGCCCCTTCCCCCCCCACCCCAAATACCAGAATTAAATCCAACATTTTGTTTTAATTTTTTTCTTTTTTATGTACCCTAAGGATGTCATATCGAATTAATACACTTGTGAGTGCATATTTGTTTAATAAGGATACAGTATTTTAGAGCTTTAAAAACTTTTAAAATGTAAGAATCAAGCCCTTAATAATTTACCGATGGGCCCTTTATATCTTTCTCAACCCCCCCCCAAAATATAAATAAAATGCTCATGTTCTACATGCAACCTGAAAAAAAACACAAGTAGATGTTCTCTAGAATGTTGGAATCCAATTCCTACAGCCCAGAAATGTTTGCTGAAACTAATGGGAATTGAATCCAAAACATCTGGAGAATTTCCAGTTGTGTATCCCTGAGGTAAGCAGAAAAGGTTCTGCAGCTTGTTCATGGTCTCTAATGTATTCATATGCTATATTGGTCTTTCAATTTCAGTTGTTCTTTTCTGGAGTTTGGGGGCCATCCTAAGGTATAATGTCAACATTTTATATGATATATTCTTTTAAATTCCAAATTCCTTTATTCTCATGTTGAATCTTTTGTGCAGTTTATTTTAAGACCTGCCATAGTGTCATGCTATATACATGGCTTCCAAACTTGGTTCACTCTGATTGTAAATTTGGTTTTTTTAAAATCTAGAATCCATTCCATTGTGAAAACATGTGCTTTAATGAAGTTTTATTGTGGTTGCATGTCCAATAACATGATGATTTACACATTCCTTTTTCTGGAATATTTAAAACTTGGGCATTTCTACATTTACACAATACTTCTAATACTGTGAAATCGTCCACTTTGTCTCTTCTGTTGACCTCAAAATGCAGAACACACAGAAAATACTCTAAGAATTAATGTGATAAGCTTCTACCCTAATAAACCGTGATCTAATTATCTGATATTCTGAGGTTTTCCTGGAAACTGTGATCCTGGGACTGCTGAGCAAGTAAATGCCAATCTATTGGCTATTTGGTATTCCTGTACCAGATTTACAACAATTCTTGTTTGGCCTTCTCATTTTCGAATGCTGTTGTTTGCACTCTATTTCCAAAGTCATTTGCCAAGAAAATAGAAAATAAAAAAACTAGCTGCTCTAGAGAAAAATTAAACAGAGTTTCAAGTAAATATCCTGTAGAATTGTTACTATAAAATTTTTCAAGAAATCGCAAGGAATTGTGTTACAAAATGTATAGAACTTATTGCACATTAAATATGGCACAGAAAGACTACTTTCATGTTAAATACTCAGGGGACTGGGAGGAACAGAAATAATGACTTAAAAATCTTTAGAGAATTGGTGATTATGCAAACTAACGATGACGAACTCATTTTCTCATAAACTGTCAGAAGTTTTAGTGTTATAAGTAATATTGCTAAAGAATAATTATGTTATTGAGGATCACCAAAAACAGAGATTTGCCAATGATTTCAAATAGCCTTGGATGAAGTATTTGTTGATAACATTTACAGCTGACTGTTGGGAAACTGAATGATAACATAACCCAGAGCTTGTAGCACTTGCTCTGAAAAATAAAAACTTAAAAAGAGAGGGATTTTTACAATTAAGACTTTAAAACATATTTGAATATATTGTTTTATTCATGAGGTTATAAGAGTAACAAGATAAATTATCAGCACAAATAGGTTAACTTTTATTAATAGAAACTATCTCCAATGCAGGCAAGTCATAATTATTATATATCATATGACCGAGGGGTGGGTTCTATTTACCTTTACTACAGGTTCACAATGAGGCTGCACGCACATGCACAGAAGCATTCTGATGACGTCGGGGTCGGTGGGCGGAGCCTCCCGCCAGTTTTACTACCGGTCCGAACCTGTGGTTGTATGTTGAGGACTACCTGTACTGTACCGGTTTTGTGTGATCATGTCAGATTTTTCCTACTATATAATTGAAGCAAGAAGAAATGAGGCATGACACACCCAGAAATGGCACAGTGAAAGTTGTGTGTGTATGCATGCATGCGCACATGTGTTCATGCACATGTGTGTGCATATGCTTCTCTTTATCATTGCTGAATCTATACATCCATCCAAAAACATGCTTTATGATAGTGGCATCTATAACAAGTCAGAGTGCCATCGAAATGACAATAAGTGCATGACTATATTGTTATGCTGGATGCATATCGTGGCATTTGCATGATGATGGCATCACGCAGATGCTGTACAAAAATAATAGAATATATGCTATATATATTCTATATATATAAAGCACTGTTATTAACATCAGCTGCCTGCAATTACTGCAAGTTCAAATCTCACCAGGCTCAAGGTTGACTCAGCCTTCCATCCTTTCTAAGGTAGGTAAAATGAGGACCCAGATTGTGGGGGCAATAAGCTGACTTTGTATAAATATAAAAAGTATGAAGGCTATTGCTTAACGCATTGTAAGCCGCCATGAGTCTTCGGAGAAGGGCGGCATATAAATCAAATTTTAAAAAAATTGTAAAAAGGTTCTTTGAGAATTCTATCATATAGAAACTTGATAGATATTTAGAGCAAGCTGCTGAAATAATCAGGAGGTGAAATCACAGAGAATGAAGTTTCAGTCTGCTTCTGATGTTTGGAGATCCTTTGTAGCAGCTCTGTTTTCAGTCTTGCTTCAGAAGGATGGAATAGCTTCTTGCAGCCTTCGAAATATTTTCTCTGCTGTTTTTCACTGAAAGAGAAACATATTTTTTTAAAAAAAACAACACTGGTCAGACAGACTTTTGTCTTCAGCTCCAATTTCAGTGGGCAGGCAGAACTCTACAAGAAACAATAATAAATAAGTTTTGAGACTGATTATCATTCCTTTCATCTGTTACAAAGATGTTCTGCATCAATCTGAATTTAATATTGGGGACTATGAGATAGGAGAGATGATACAGGATGACAATGTTCTAGGAAGAGTAAAAGTCAATTCAAAAA